CAGTCGCTGATTTGACTCTATCGCTTGAAACCGCAGTTGGCATTTGGTTATCCTCAATATCCTCCGGGTTCCAATCTATAGCATTGACCTCTTGAGCATTTCGTTCCTCGGCCTTTCGCAATACTGTTTCCATCTCCTTGTTGAATTTCTTTTCCATGCGAGAAACCCCGTTTTCATCAATAGGATTATGGAAGTGCTGGTAATACCCCTTGAGAAGATTTCCTTTCTTTAAACCGTTGAATGTCAGACCTCCCGGAGGCAGCACGTCAGACTCATATGGCAGAGGGATTGCCCTCGGAGGAGCATATTCAGGCTCCGGAACTTCGTTGTCATCGGCATTGTCATGTTTATCATGCTCTATATTCAGTTTCATTGGTTGGGGATTCACCGGTTTTTGCTTGGTCTTCTGTCCACTGGTTTGCCTCGTCTGCGTCTTTTCAATTTCCCGAACAATATCTTTGACTCCAATAGTCTGGCCTGTTCTGGCTTTCGCATTTGTAGTCTTGTTTCCTAGTGGCGCACGAGCACGATTATCTGTTTAACAGAGATTAGCAAACCATATGGCGGATTCTTTTATCGAGGTGAATATAGCAACACGCACTCATCGGAGTTAACATTGTCTGGCGTTGGCCCGTCATTTTCCCCGTCATCAACCTATCCTTTCCTGCCAACTTAGCACCACCACCGAAGGCGATTTTATCCGCAAACGGCATGGGCGCATTCTCATCGCCTCGCCCGAAGTTTCCGGGCGTCTTGGGATATCTGGCGCCTGGTGTTTTTGGCTGCTGTTTTGTTGGACCTTGGTGGTGACTATGCACCAAATTCTCTTGGTCGCGATGTGCCGCCAACATGGTGGTTCCGCGGTGCCGAATGTCAATAATGCTGTAGATAACCTGTTATGGAGAGTGAAGGACCACGGGCAAGGACGCGATGATGCGTATTCGATCCCAGCAACAATAGGGGCTGGTCAGACAATCTCGGTGGTTAGTTCTGTCGTCTTAATTGTTTGGGCCCCGTCCTGAAATCCGAGCTCCTGTTGATTAACCTGGTCGCAAATAATGGTTGACCGGACAACAGGATGTTGCCTAGCGCGCCGTACTCTAGATGTCACGTAATACTCCGGCAATCCGGTCTGCACACTTGAGCGTGTGGGTCGCTGTTGACCAGTAATTTTCCAGTGCTTGGCTTTGCTGCTGGCCGCTGGCTATGGCACGTTGTACCGCCAGACCAAACCGTTGACTGGACATTTGGGCTTGACGGCACGCGTTCACAGGGGAAAATACAAGCATCGTTGGAGGGGCAGGCGGCCAGCTCTTGCGACTCCTTTACTCCGTACTCCGTAGTCTCAAAGCACAAACACTGGAACCCTATTTGCTCATCCCTTTTCTTTGATCTTGACCCAATCATCCAACCTGGCTGCATCATAAATCCTCCACAAACCGGTATTCATCTCCAGCTGAAATTCTACCTACCCGAGCTCGATTTTATAATACTTCCCGAAAATGGATCGCATTAAGGAGGTTCGTCTTTTCGTATTGTTATTCCTGCCTGTTCAGACAGCGTCCACTCTCTGTTTGTACCCCACTCAACACAGTGCTGTGTAGAGGGGTAAAATGCTTGGTCGTCCGACAAGGCGAACGACGCATCGTGGCTGATGATGGTGACAATCTAGAAAATGAACTCCCTCCGCCTCGAGGCTGACGAGGCTGCCGCAAAGGTGCAAGAACTTCAGGCCAAAGTCAAGGCTCTTGAGCAGGAAAACCTGGCCAAGGAACAGGAGATCACCTCTCTACAGCACAAGAACAACTTGCTTGAGGGCGAGGTGGAGAAGCTCGAAGCCGCCACGAAGGACTTCAAGAAGGCCGCTGATGAAGGCCAACAACACGGCACCCAGAACGAGACGCTGCAGCGACGACTCCAGCTGCTTGAGGAGGAAGCCGAAGAAGCCGACAAGACTTTGCGGGAAGCGAACGAGAAGTATGGAACATATCTCGACCTTTCCCTCCTTTTCCCCTTTCCCGGCGGCGGAGGTGTCTCACCGTTTCTTAGCAAGAGGCAAGTCTGATGCTAATCATTCCAAATCTATTAGGCTTCGACAGACCGATGTCAAGGCTGGACACTTTGAGCGCAAGGTGCAGGCCCTCGAACAAGAACGAGACCAATGGGAGCAGAAGTACGAGGAGATGGCGAAGAAGCACTCGACTCTGCAGAAGGAACTGGAGGAGCTTCAAAACGAGATTGGCAACATCTAACTTACAAGTTCGTAGAGAAATCAACCACCCATTTACTGCAACGTGGTTGTTCCGAGTCTAGCCAGTACGACCTAGGCGAAGCAAGGCACCAGAGGTTATCGATGTTATTATTTTTGACGCGAATATTTTCTTTTGTTGCGAGAAAAGCGAATCACCTAGCAGCAGTATATACCATCTCTTCTACTAATTGGAGCTTCCTCGATCCATGGGGTATCTATTCTCCCATAATATTTAAATAGCTTCACCTGCTTCATAATGCCCATTTTGCTGCTCGGCTTTCTTCTACTCTCTCCGTGATTTGCTTTTTGCTTTTTGCTTTCTATCTGTCAATTGTCGTTCAATCTTTGATTCGTACCGAAACTTCTTCTTCTTCTTCTTCTTCTGCCATGATGGTTTCTTCTTATCCTTGGCCTCGGCTTCTTTCTTTTCTGCTTCCTCCCGTTTTCGGCGAGCCTCTTCCTCAGCCTCATCATCGATTTCATCTGGTCTGCTTAATCCATCTCGTGAGACTGAAACTGATTCAACCTTGACAGTAGTATACCTGTCCTCATCAATGTATTCTTCCTCGTGATCGATAATGCTCAAGTCTGGCTTGTCCGGGAAGCCATCCCATTCGTGCACATCCTCCCCAGATTCTTCTCCCTCATCGATCTGCGAAGATACAGCCCCAGACTCACGAAGTATTCTATTTACAGCCTCAACATGTTCAGCAACTTCTCGTCGTCTGTCTTCTCGTATCTGCGGAAGCAAGTGGATTAGTGCCTTCGCAAAGCCAATGTACTGCCCATAGAGGCTCGTCAGCGGATGCGCACCTGTTTCCGCGTTTCCAATTTTTCCTGGCGAGCCTTCTTGGCAGCCTCCTCTTGCGCATGCTTTATTCTCTGCTGCTTGCGCTTGTGAAAACCGGTAAGAAATTCTGTGCGGGCGTCGTCGTCGAACGAGATCTCTTCAATAGTCGACGTAGTTTTCCGTTTCTTACTCGGGGGTGGTAGAATGCTCTTTTTCGGTCTCGGTTTGGCGAACATTCTGGCAATTCGAAATCTTCCAGTCTTGAATGAAGCACCTGTACTGCTAATATGATACAAAGAAGGTCGGATTGTTGCGTATGGTCACGTATTTTTTTTTTTTTACACCAAGGAGCACCTTGACACTTCCCACAGTGACAGGGTCCACTAGCCGCCTACTGTGGCTCTTGTGCTTGACAAAAGATTCCGGTGGACATTGTACCAGTTCAATGACCTTACGTAATGCACTGGATTTCCAGTACCATCACGGTCGCACGGCAGGCGGCTGCCTGTCTGTCATGTTAACGGAGGAGCTTGATACAGCTCATTGAAGATACGACAAGTGGTCAGCCGCGCATCGCTATAGTCACCATGCGTTTCCAGATTTTTGCCAGCGCTTTAGCGCTACCAGGAGCAGCGTCTGCTTTCTCAGATTCTTCACCATGGGTGCTATTTTCGAGTTCAAAGTGAGCCCTGCGCGAGCATCGTCCTTTGGCCGACGACGGCTTGACTGATGATTCGATTAGGATTTCGCAACCGTCCAATACGAACCAGATGCAAACGAGTTCCGAAGTTATAAAATTCACCAAAAAAGTACTCGACGAATGTCCTACCGACCAATACCTGATCGTGACACAACCCGGTATCAATGCTGCGGATCTTACCCAGAGCGATTGTTTGATGCCCCATGTCTGCAAGACTGTCGAATCCTCTCGGGTCAAGGGGAAGTACACCGTGGCCGAGGTTATAGGAGACGTTACAGAAGCCAAATTTGATGAGTACATCAAGGTAGCGTGCAGGAAGAAGGGAAAGGCTGCCCATGTGAAGTCAGTTCAGCTGAGCTCGTTATCACCAGCTGCCAGGGCTCAGGATCTCGCCAGCAATGGTAAGTTGGTTCTCGAGGAAGACGAGGCCACACATGTGTGCATTCATGCTGATGGAGTTGTAGATGTATCACTCACTGCTGAGCTGAAAGCAGTCACAGCCGCTGACAGCTACACCGTCCTGCTCTACGCAACCCCCCGCGAACCGCTGTACGAGTCGGACTTCATCGAGCCCGTGCATATGGGTATGAAGCGAGATGCGAATAGCGCTCCCCTACCTCAGCAAAACAACGACACGGAATTCAACAAGTTGCCCCTGTTTGAGAAATATCAATTTTTCACTCCTGGTAAGCTATTGCTGCTACCCGTTTACGACAAAGCTCCCCTGACTAATGACGTCAGGTATCTTCATGGGCCTTGTTGTCGCCATTGTTCTTCTTTCCATTCTCGGGGCTGGTATCAGAGGTCTTGCCAGCCTCGAGGTCTCGTACGGTGCTTTCGACAAGGAGATGGGCCCCGCAGCCCAGAAGAAGCAGCAGTAATGTGTTGAGGCGATGCCATCATGCTTTGTACGTTGTTGAACCGAGTTGTTCTGTAGCATATACATATCAAATACGGAGTTTAAGGGCTGGTTTACTGAAGAAAGCTGCGGGCTTGTGGCGTGAAGTATTCCTGCTGTTGTCAAATAGCGCAGGATGTCGCTCGAGTAGAGTATAGTTTATACATTGTATGGTCAAAGAGCCCAGAAACTGCCTTTCCTGCTGCGACAAAAATATTCCATTCAAGCAAATCCGCGAAACAGACGTGCGTAAAACTCCCCTACGCCATCCCAGTAAATCTCATTGAACCGCCCCTGATTCCACCCTATACCGTCAACCCAAGCCTTCCTGCCTATAATCTGCTTTCTTTCAGTCTCGCATCTAAACCATATGGCTTGGCAGCAAAAAGTTGGCAATGCCCTCCTTCACGGCGTACTCGTGTCCACAATTGGCGCACACCAACTTCCCCTCTGACATTTGCGTCTCCAGCAACAAGTGGTGCAAATCTCTCAACGTCTTCTCATCAGCCTGCAGCTCCTCCGCGGTAGGAGGCTGCTCAGGAAGGGCAGGGAAGCCGAGCTATCACTTCAGTCAATAAAACCCATCCCCGTCTACCGCTAGTAAACCAAGTCTCACAACGGCCAGCCGATACCAAAATACCCCACAGCAGCTGATATTTTTTTGCTTTTGAAAAAAAAGAGAGAGAGCAACGTACTTCAGATGACGTAGTTCGTAATGCGGCCCAGTCCAGTCTGGGCAGCACATTGATAATCATATCGGGATTGAGTTCGATTTCATCCTGAACGAGTTCGGCGTCCTTGGGGTGAAGAGGATATGAGTCGGAGGAGCTTTTGCATGCCTTGGCGGCGCATGTCAGGAAGTTGAGGCTGAGGACCTTCATTTTCAAGTCCCGTATAAATGACTGACCGACGACGTTCGTTTTTGTTTCCAACGTATCCGTTTTCCGGTATTCAAAGTCTTCAGAAAGGGTAGGGATGCGTGTCAACGTCGTGCCTCAAGATGAACTTACAACTTGTTTTCAAGCAGTTGCAGATTCGGCTGCTGCTGCAAAAGTGGCCCCACGTGACAGGGATGGGGGTGGTGTGCGCTTGATACGCGACATGATTTATCACATATTGGACTCGACATCTCGCCAGCATGCTCGGCTTCAACAACCAATTGTAGTTCAATCGGATTTCGGTTCTTTATTCCATCATATGTTTGGTCCATGTTGAGAAATTAATGACAGTTGTTCTGTACCAATTTGAGAAACCATATCCTTGTATTGTTACATGTTCTACATGTTAACGAGACGCCGACACAGGAAAGCTTGGATATATTAAGCAGTCAACTTTTCCGTGTAGCCTCTGTTGGAAGATTTACGAAGGCGGATGTAGAACACTGCAGCAGAAACCACAAACCCAAACAATCCCACCTTCTGCAAGAGTGACCATCCTTCAGCGGGGCTGTTTCCTTCGATAGCGTCGTTTTCGACGGGCGCAACGCCGTCGGCCCAGCCAGCCGAGCCGTGGAGGCCTGATTATTTCCACACGTATCAGCACCGGCTACGGGCGATTTGAGGATAGTTTGGTTTTGTGAAGCTTCGATACAAAGGATCTTAAAGCTCAACGTGAATACCTTCAGGCGGGACCTCGAGCTCGCCGCTCTTGGCGATCTTTACAGTCTGAACAGGCTTGTCGCCTGCCGAGGTCTCGATATTCTCAATCTTCTCGACGATATCGTAGCCTTCAAGCACCTCGCCGAAAACGACGTGTCGGCCATCAAGCCAACTATGGAATTGATTAGTTATTTGTTCGTCCTGCCAACGAATGGCGAATATCGGAAATGCCTGCTTACGCGGTGACGACGGTGGTGATGAAGAATTGAGAGCCGTTGGTGTCGGGACCAGCGTTGGCCATGGAGAGGAGACCCTTCTTGGTATGCTTGAGCTTGAAGTTCTCATCCTCGAACTTTGCGCCATAGACTGCGAGAAGTTGCGAGTTAGTCAATTGATCAAGCCATGGAGCTGTATTGGATTTACAATGGCCAAGAATACTCACTAGACTTGCCACCAGTGCCGTCGCCCTTGGTAAAGTCACCACCCTGGATCATGAACTCCTTGATAACACGGTGGAACGTAGAATCCTGGTAGCCAAACCCCTTTTCCCCGGTAGCCAAAGCACGGAAGTTCTCAGCCGTCTTAGGGACAGTCTTCCCGTACAATCCCATGACAATACGACCCAATGGCTTGTCACCATGCTCAATATCGAAGTAGACCTTGTGGGTGATCTTGGGGCCTTTTGCCGCCTCGGCGGTCTGGGAGAAAAGGACCAGGCCAACTCCAATGAGGAGGGCGAAGGAGACGAGACGCCTCAGGTTAAACATATTGCGTGTAAAAAGCCGACCTCTGCAGTCGAAGGGAGAAAAGATACGTGACGCAAAAAAGATGGCGGGTGTATCTCTCAGTATGCTGTTAAAGAATTGGAATATCAGCGTATACTGCGCGATGGTTGGGTATATCTTGCCGTGAGATGTAGAGAAGAGGATGATGAGGGAGAGAGGAAGACTGGAAGGCTGGACTGAGGGACACCTAAGCTCTATGCTCGATGAGTGCGTTTCAAGATTCCCCGCTGCAGCAGCGTAGGGAGGTCCATGCATAGGGGGCCCACAGCGCTGCGACTGTTCTACATGTACTTGACGGTTCAGGTCTCAAGTCCTGGTTGCGTTGGCGAAAACAGCAGGTGGCGTTGCACGGCCTGGTAGGTAGTACTTCGATTGTGCTTGGGATTTGATAGCAGCTGGGGCTAGAGCCTCTTTCCACTCCGTACTCCGTACGGATGTCACCTTTGATCTCGAAGACACCTTGTAACTTAGCAGTTGACTCCATCACTCACTCCACAGTCAGTGGTTAGCCAAACTGCGGCAGCACCACGCCGGAGGCTTGGTACCAGCAGGAGGTCAATTCGATCTGCTGAACGACGCTAGGGAACGACGCTGGGATCGGTAAGGCAAAATTCTAACTAGTAGTTGCGACATATTCGTCCCCTCTTAATCAGTACATAAATTCGATGTTAATGTTGACTCGGAACCGTCGTGGCAAACCAGATGCAACACGCCAGTACAACTCGCTCCGCCCAAGGTTACTTTAAGCCCTCAAGCCAAAGTCTCCAGGTGTTTCGACGGACACCTTCCTATCAAGTTACTACGCATTTAAAATTTAGTGCCAATTGAGCCAAGTGACAACACAGCTCATTTCAATTTCGATAACAAGGCCATAATATCCACGACTCCATACGCAGAACAGCAACATTGAGGCTCTGGGGCTTGGTTGAATTTCGGCTTACCTACTTAAGTAAGTACGACGGCGTCTTACTAGAAACGGAGGGCCACCCTGGATGCGGGTTTAACCGCATCTTCTCCGAAACTTCTTTTTATGTCCCAACCTGCCTAGGATAGACGCTGATCATCAGGACAGCACCTCGGCTTGGCATCTCTGCCGTCAATTCTGCTCAACAACCGTCAAAATGGTATTATGAATCCTCAATTCTCAGGTTATGGTAATAATAACCAGCGCGGACAATTCTCACCCTTCATTTAGGTGTTCATACTTGGCGTCAATTTCAATGATGGCAAGCTCGTCAAGGTAAGAATACCAAGGCAGGCACCATTTATGCGCTTCTCGAAAGGAGGCCAGTAGCGCTGACAATGCCCGGAATCGCGGCCACAGAAAGCTCTCGAATCATTCTATGCTCTAGGATCAACGACATCCTCCCGCATCATGGCCAAATACTCGATCCACAAGCTCGCCAAAGTCGGATCCCTTAGCCCCCGAACAGTTACGTCCCTGACAGCCGAACTATCGCAAATGACGATTGAAACCGACGCAAGGCGGATAGTACAAGACAATATCAGAAGATTAAAAGACATTGGGTCATATCGCGGTCGACGGCATGCCATGGGCCTGCCGGTGCGTGGTCAGCGAACACGCACGCAGACGGCCACGGCCAACAAACTCAATAGAGTCGATCGCAGGTCCTAAGTCTTCTGCAGCCCGTAACGGACTTTTCCAGCTATATTTGAACATTTGGGCTTCGAATATCTACGACTATTGAGACATAAGGCGATCTCAGGACAAGGCGGACGCCACACCTGCATGCAGCATCAAATCAACATCAACGTCCCTACGCAGTAGGCACTTTTTGGAGGAAAGTCGAGACTGAAATCAGGGTCCGCATCCATGAAAGACATGATCTGTTGTACAAGAGTGTGTATAGAATAATTTGTATGACTATGTGAGTAAAATAGACAGCATCGAGGTCTGATTTCAAAAACTACACAACCCCCTCGTATGTACAATAAACGATCTTCTACCGCGTAAGTCAACAATATGTTAGTCAAGATGATCTTCCATGAAGGGCGCGTTTCTTCATTCACGCAGAAACGGCGGCGACTTGGTGCCACAGGGGAAGAACGTTGCGACCAACGATCCAAGCGGCATCACGGCCACTGACGCCGACCCTCGACAAGGCAGCAATCAGGTCAGGATACTTGGTAACGTCTTGAAATGCCTTGGGCACAGAGTCGATGCCACCAAAGTTGAGAAATGCTATCCTTGACGTTGGGAGGATGCGAGTAGATGCTGTAAGCAGAGCTGTGGAAAATAAACGCGGGTGCTTTAGATCCCGCCCAATCTGCTCGACCACCCAAGACAACAGACAAAGTGTATTCAATTCTTACTCATTAGCTCTACATTCGTCGTGCATATACTAGTGTTGCTTTGGTGCAACTGACTTCACATGTGCCAGTGCGGTTCATGTCATGAATTAGCTTGCGTCTCCGTAGTATCCGGCACGAGCTTTATTTGCGAGCTGGTCGAGTCGCAGGCCTCGCCTCCTTTACTGCCTAGCCGGGACTCTTGTCGGCATTGTGCGATGGCAAGATATTCTTGGTTGCCATGGTCAGGCAGGTGGGATGAAAGTCAAGGAGAAGCCGATTTAAAGAACAAGGGTACCCAACCAAGGGCTTGTTCTGGCGGCGACACTGATGAAGGCAAAACAAACACACAAAGAAATGGGGTAGCTGAATCAGTGAAAGCACGAACGAGGAGCACCGGCAGGGTTTGCAAGACGAGGGTCTCGTGATGGAATACTTTTGACTGGCGGTACGCGTAATACACGAAGGGCAGGGACAAGAGGTATACTTGACCATAAGGAAAGCCACAAAAAAATATTAATAGTATTTTCTACTGATCTTACACTTGTAACTTTTCATTTAGAACAATCATGTTCGTAAAAAAAAAAAAAAAAACGACTGGTCTACTTCTTATTTGAGAACAGCTGAGTGAAAGTCGAACCGCCATGTCCTGAATGATGGTCGATGCCGATTACAATTAGCGCCAAGTACATTTGGATCAAGGGCATGAATGTTCCAGTGTGAAAACATAATGGCTCTGTACATTCCAGGGCCAGCAGTACAGGGAACAAGGAAAACGGCCAGTGTCTATTATTGTACGGCTATTCAGTCAGCTCGTCTATTAGTGCATGTAGTTGCTTGCCATGGCACATCCGCCGTGCCATCACGGTGAATCCCAATGCGCGGCGTCTCTTACGTCACACAAGAAGAGCAGCAGGCTCCTTTATGGAATGGACCGGCTGAATTCCCTTTACGCGCCTGGGTGCTCAAGTTCCTTTTCAACCTCAAACCACCCTGTAGTTACCTATGTACTTGTGTCTTGGGGGCACATGTCTAAGGAGCACAGAGAAACGAGAGCGTCAGCGCTGGTTGAGGGACGGCAAGGCACGCGGAGTGTCTCGAGTGCTCGGTTACAGAGCGCCTAGGTACTTGGGTTCTTCTTGGATGCACCAAATGGCCCATACAGAACCTGGTGATGATGATATAGCATTGATTGTCCAAGAGTTTTATCAACTCGCCAGGTCCGTGGTCCGTGTCCGTGCTACCCGGGCCGTTCGCGCCCTACCCGCAAAGATGCCCAAAAACGAAGCGATTGCCAATCGATTCGCCCGTCCGGTCTTGTGATTGACATCTGGAGGTTGTGAACATGTCGCACTGCACTTCGGTGTGTGGTCGCGGCCCATGCCAAGCACCCCGACCGTTGAATCTGTTTGCATGTCACCTCGCCAGCCTTGGAAGCTGGGGTACTGAAGTATATTAGTAGTACCAGACTTACTTTACCTGGCCCTGTCGGCACTTCAACGGCGGGCGCCCAAGTCACCGCCAGTTCCATGTCGCCCGGTTCATCTCAAGACTGGACTGGACCCCTGGCCAGCGGCTGGTCGACTGGCAAACTGGTCACCTCGGGGCCCAACTTGAGGGAATACGAGCATGCATGTGTAAATGTCTGGTGCGCTCCGTAGTAGTACAGCGTGCGTCTGGCAGCTCAGTAGGTAGTGCACACGCAACATTTCAACGTTCCAATGTTCGACAATTGACGGCACACACGCAGGTGTGGGCCTTCGTCAACTGGCCGTGAACAATGACCAGCCCAGCCCCTGAGGCATCTGGTGCCTAGTGGCCAACGACGGGGTCTGGGGTCCAGCGACAAAGCTAGCCGCAGCTGAGCAGCTCCAGATGTCCTATTAGCTGGTCACTCAGTGGCATTCACACTCGGGTCCGGCGCTGCCATGTGGACTCCAGCCTTCTCTAGCTCTCTTCATCATCTCCATCTGCAATCTCCAACTCCTCCGTGCACTCTTCACTCCTATCCACATTCTGCAGACGCTCTTTGTAACCTCTGTCCTTAACTTGCGCCGGTTGGACTGCTGTATGCGTGCTTTAACTCATTTTGAACCCCGTTCTTTATCTTCAAAGTCGCCTTTCTTCCTTGGAGCTTGCTTCATTACCGCCCGACCTCGACGCCGCCTTACCACCGCAAGCTTGCCCAGAGCCGACCAGCCGACGACGTCAACGTGTCCAACCCGAACCTCGGTAGCCCTGAATTCTGTGTGCTTTGCCTCGCCAGTATCTTGATCTGAGCAGAGCATCCTTGAAATACCATCGACGTTCGATCGAATAGGCAGAGTTGGCCATTGCCTTTACGCTATCCTCCCCCTTTGTGGCTTTTCTTGCACCTGGTGTTCCGTTGTGTGTGCGGCCCAGCCGAGTACAAGAAAAATGCCGGGCTTCGCAGACTCGTTCTGGTCGAGCGATTATGCCGCAGGTATGTCGAGCAGGATTCCGAATAAATGTCAAGGGGTCAGAAGTCTCGTTGCGACTTGCATTGCCCAAAGATCTAACGTGTAAACCATAGGACTCGGCGTCTTGTTTGGCAAGCTCCAGCAAGGTGTAATGGAGAATCGCCAGATCCTCACAATAGCCCGTTTGCGCGCCGAAGCTGAAGAGACTTACGGCCAGCGTCTCTCGGATATCACGCCATCTGCAGACAAAGTCAATGGTGGTTTCTCAAGAGATGACGGTGCCACCGTACGAAAGGTGAGTTTTTTCCTTCTTGATATTGTCTTGCATTCACGGTCCAGGAAACCCACCTCAATGTTCCGACCGGCTACTTACAGCAGTCTTTTACTATATAGGCCTATGATGGAATGCGAGCAGAGATGCAAGACGCCGCACGGAGTCATCAACGAATCGCCCAGAATATCCGAGACTTGGTTGTAAATCCATTCTCCCGCTGGTGTGATGCCCACGAAGCCCGTGTACAGGATTCGCAAGACGAACTACAGAGCCGTGTCAAGGCGCATGACCGCCAAGCCGATGCGGTTCGCAAGTTGCGATCAAACTACTTCAATAAGTGCCGGCTGGTCGAGGATCTAGAGGAGGAGAACAAGCTTGGCTTTCAAGACCCTGAAACCAGCCCGAAGCCGAACCAGCCGAACATTCCCGAGATTAAAGTCCAGCCTCTGAAAGAGGAGGAGGATCCCGATGACGAAGAATTGTACGAAATCGGCGACGATGTTTATCAACCCGAGCAGCTGAAAAAGATCCTCTCACACATGCTTTCCACCATCAAGATGGGCGAGACCAAGGTTCCCATTCTTGGCACATACTTGAATACATCAGCCGGTTCTGACATTGTCGAGTATCTTCAACGCAGCATGGGCATTTCGAGTGTGAGCTACGCCGAGCGAATTGGCCAGGATCTCATTACAAACGGCTTCTTGCGCCTTATCGGTAATGTTGGCAGCACATTTGCCAACAGCTCCAAGATGTTCTACCAATGGCGACCAAAGGCATTCAAGTACGCCGGATTGCCTGAGAAAAAGTTGAATAGAACCTTTTCACTCCCCGTCACGGGGTCCGATGGAGGGTCAGACTCGCCCGTTGTTGGAACAGTCAGTGAGTATCTGGCCAACTGGAATGTACTCGGGAATAGGGATCCAAATGAGACACCCTCCATGCGTCTGCAACGCGAGGCTCGAGAAGCCGATGACAAGTACAAAGCTGGTGTTCGCAAGCTTGACGAATTGCGCTGTGGACTCGAGGAAGCCATTTTCCTCCATCTGAAGTTCCTCGAACGGTGTGAGCTCGACCGACTTAAGGCTATCAAGACGGTCATCCTCGATTTCTCCGGGGCCATTGGTAATGTCATTCCTAGCTTACAGTCGACCGTGGACAAAATGGTCCTGTTCCAAGAGACGGTACAGCCTGCCGGTGATCTACGTTATTTGTTGGAGAATTATCGCACCGGAAGCTTTGCCCCGAGAGTCGTGGTGTATGAGAACTACTACAACAGGGTTGACGAGCAGACATTTGGTGTTGACCTTGAGGCTCGTGCAAGAGCTGACAAGAAGCGCGTGCCCGTCATTGTGACAACGATCTTGACCTATCTGGATCATCATTACCCAGACCTGGAAGGGGATGAGGCTCGCCGAGGAGTCTGGCTGGTTGATGTGCCTCTCGCACAAATTCATAAGCTTCGGGCCAAGGTCAATAATGGCAAGGCCATCTCGCCAGACATTTTTGATGAGTTCGATGTCCCTACTGTAGCAGGACTCCTGAAGCTGTATCTATTGGAACTCCCTGGTAAGCTTTTTCTTCACAATCTTCCCCAAACAAGAGACCTTGGCCCCATCTCCCTTCCTTTTGTGCGGTGACCACTAACATTGCGATTTCAGATTCACTAGTTAGCGCCCATGTCTACGAAATTATCCGCACGATTTATACAACGCCCACGGCAGATGGTTCGGAAGCATCCCGCGTTGCCGTTCTCCAGCAGACACTGTCACAGCTGCGCCTGACCAACATTGCGACTCTCGATGCTTGCATGAATCATTTTACTCGCCTTATTGACCTGACGTCTGCGGATGAAGAATATGTTGCATCGTTGGCTGCGTCGTTAGCCCCGTGCATTCTCAGGCCGCGAACCGAAACCTCGCTTACGCTTGAAGAGAAGCATGCATCTCGACTGGTACGGGACCTATTTGCGCACAAAGACGCAATTTTCAGTGCACTTAAGCGCATGTCCACATTGAGTCATTCCGCATCTGCGGCTGGCAGTCGACCTCGGGCTGTGAGCACTGATGAGAGTAATAGAAAAGCTCTCATGGAGGAACGTAATCGTGCTCTGGTAGAAAAGGCGACGGCCTCGCGGAGTCGAGCAACCAGTCCGGCACCAGGACCCCGTGGCCATCGCCGCGATAGG